TTGCGTTCATGTAACACTGTGCGTAAACTCTTAAATTTACATGTTTCATAAGTTTTCACGTTTTGGCGAATATCCATATTCTGCCTGGAAAGTATATAGTATATACTTATACATTTATTATAAGTAAATATAAATATCCTGTCGAAAAGTGATTTAAAAAGGGAGGTGAAATAACACAACGCAAAATTTGCTTTATTTCACTTTTAAATGGGAATTAATGCCAAAATCTGAGTTTTACTTTATTTCCAACAAGGATTGAAAATAAAACAAATTTTACCTTATTCCCCATTGCTTATTTATACTATTTATAACAAAAACAGTTTACTGACGGAAGGAAAAAGAACTTTGTTTATTCGAAAAATACAATTAAACAAAAAATGTGATATAATTCATATGAGGAAAGTAATATTCACAAAATATTTTTACTTACTTTTTATATTAGCCGGCAACCCTCGGCAAATCGGATATAGCGCTTTTGTATGTTTACATGGAACGCAGCATATAACACAGAGAATATTGTTTTGAGTTTTATCTTATATCCATCCGTTATTTTATCTCACGAAAAAAGTGGTAAACACAATAATCTCATATAGTTAGATCTTGGCTATTTTTAAGCGACTTCAATTCGTCGGAATATTTTTTTATATATGTTATCGCATAACTTGGGACCACGTCAACCGATTTCGATAATTTACACCCCTATTCTGCAACTCTTTCGTATTCGGATTTTGCTACGAATCGTAGAAATAGTATGCTGCAATCCGAATCGTATTTTCGAACTTTCGAAATTCGTAACAATGGCGTGCCTAAAAACGAACGAGTAAGCTTTTTTGCGTAATTTTGTACGAAAAGATGTAAATCAATGTGTGTTTGCAAGAAATATTGGTGGTGTTCCTTTAAACAGATAAATTTGCCTTTCGCATATACGTATATTTTTATCCATTGCTTCATATAAACGGGCAAAAAAGAATCTTTGTTGCACCTTATCGAGAAACTTGGGTCCGGTTTAGTTATTTTTACAATGATTTTCGGTTGTTGTCTCCAAACGCATAACCCGAATCCAAAAACTTTAACATACGAGGGTGCATTGAAAAGTCGTTAGAATGAAAAACTAGACATTGGTTTTTTAACAAAAAATTGATTTATTTTTCAACATAATCTCCTTTTAAGTCAATACATTTTTTCCAACGCTTTTCTAACATATTTATTCCTTCTCTAAAATAAGTTTTTTCAAAACCTTCAAAATAAGTATTTGTTGCAGCTATAACTTCACTATTTGACACAAATCTTTTTCCGCCGAGCCATTTTTTCATATTTGGAAAAAGGAAAAAGTCACTGGGAGCTAAATCTGGCGAATATGGCGGATGAGGGAGCAATTCATAGCCTAACTCATTTATTTTTTCCTGCGTTTTCAAGATGAATGTAAAGGAGCGTTATCATGATGAAAGAGGATTTTCTTCTTTTTCAAATGTGGCCGTTTTTGCTTAATATTTTGGTCCAATGTATCCAACAAAGATGAATAATATTCAGCTGTGATGGTTTTACCCTTTTCAAGATAATCTATGAAAATTATACCTTGTGCATCCCAAAAAATAGATGCCATAACCTTACCAGCTGATGCAACGACCTTTGCCTTCTTTGGAGCACTTGAGCCACGTTCTACCCATTGTTTGGACTGTTCTTTAGACTCTGGTGTATAGTGGTGGATCCACGTTTCATCCATCGTTATGAAACGACGCAAAAATTCCGATGGATTTCTGTTAAACATGTCTAAACCAACTTTTGAAGTCGACATTCGGTTCATTTTTTGCAGAGGAGTTAGCAAACGCGGCACCCATCTTGCTGAAAGCTTTTTCATACCCAATTCATCATGTATTATATTATGCACACGTTCATAACTAATGTTCACAATGTCAGCAATCTCTCTCAATTTAATTCTTCGATCTTGTGTGACAATTTTGTACACTTTTTCCACCGTTTCTGGAGTCGTTACCTCTTTTAGCCTCCCAGAGCGTGGCTCCNTGGCTCATCTTTGGTGCTTATCCGACCACGTTTAAACTCGTTTACCCAATTGTAAACTGTTGCATTTGAGGGTGCATGTTCCCCTAATACTGTCTGCAACTCCTCAATAATTTGTTTCTGGTTTAAACCTTTCAAATGAAAGTACTTTATAACAGCACGAAGTTCACTTTTTTCCATTTTTAATAAAAATACAATAGTGTTTTGCAAAAATAATTCTCAAAAAAGTACCGTTTGACCATATGTTATGAAATTTTGACAGCTCGCTTTTGACAGTTCACTTTTAACATTCACAATAATTAAGTAAATTAATGACCGATAGATGTCGCAATTCTAACGACTTTTCAATCCACCCTCGTACACGTGTAATGAAAGGATTAAAATTTTATTTAAAAAAAATGTTTAAAATTTCCCGACCACTAGCTTATTGATAAATTCGGTTTGCACTATGCACTTTTTTGCAAATTTGGCCGTGGGTTCTGCGCAAAAATACTGTGGNGTGTTTTGCAAAAATAATTCTCAAAAAAGTACCGTTTGACCATATGTTATGAAATTTTGACAGCTCGCTTTTGACAGTTCACTTTTAACATTCACAATAATTAAGTAAATTAATGACCGATAGATGTCGCAATTCTAACGACTTTTCAATCCACCCTCGTACACGTGTAATGAAAGGATTAAAATTTTATTTAAAAAAAATGTTTAAAATTTCCCGACCACTAGCTTATTGATAAATTCGGTTTGCACTATGCACTTTTTTGCAAATTTGGCCGTGGGTTCTGCGCAAAAATACTGTGGATGCACAAGGAGTGTTGTATACCTTTGACATGCGGAAGCCCCTCTTCTCCGGCAACACAGAAAGGAGAATTCTACTTAGTAAGGGTTATAANCCTTTTCCGGCAACACAGAAAGGAGAATTCTACTTAGTAAGGGTTATAATCCCTAAGCGCGGCCGAAGGCAGAAGCAAGTGAAACAGGTGGTGGACCTAACAAAGTGCATGTTTTCAATTGCTCGGAAGAAGCTGTTATTGTATTAACTGGATTGAGAACCAGTTCTGCAGGCATAGGAGGAGTTCTGGCTTGTGGTTCAACAATTCAACCAGAAGCTGACATAGATGCGCCCATGGTTACTATGCCCGACAGCTTCGCATACCTTTGTGAATCCATTGCCATAGTGCCCGCTTACTCTGCTGCTATAATTGCAAATACATCAGAATCCATAATTTTCCTCAAACTATGTAAAATTAACCAATTTTACAATAAGCAAGCACATGATGAGTGTTTTTTTAATTCCTTTCCACTTTGTTTTCCTTCATTCAGCTATCTTCGAAAAACAACTGATAGCTGGCAATGCTGCACATGTTTCCGCAAGGGTTGCAGCATGTGGATTTTTCGTTTTTCGTAGCTGAGCTACGAATTACGAATTACGAAAATTCGACTTCTAGAATAAGGGCGTTACTTTTTTTCTTTTCTATTAACGGCACTCCTAAATGTTTATATTAGAATTGAATTCGGTTGTGTTTTTGGCTTAAAAATTACTTGTTCTTTTGTTTAACTAACGTTTATTATTTTTTTATGAAAATAAAGCTCTTTTCCCAACAAGAAACATATAAATCCAAATTTCCGACTTTTCGCAAAAACTATGAAAATTAATTCTGCAAAGTTTCATCAAAATCAGAATCTTTAGAAAAAAATTGGTTTGCAGTTTTTTAGCTCATTAAAATTGAGTATAATAAAGCAAGGTGCTCTCATTGGCTTCCCTAAAAAGTAAGTGAGTGCGCCTTGGCCACACTGGAGAAGTGAAACTTACGTTACATATCTAGTTGGTCTCATAATCAATATACATTTCCTTAAGGTTATGTCTTATGTTCTTTCTAACTAGATCCCTGCCTCTCTACCCTTTTCGTTCTAATTACATTTATGTTATTCTGTTTTCCTTTATATTTATTTGTATCTTTTTACTGTATTTTTCTTACACAAGTAAAGTGTTTAAATTTACCTTGGTCTTCATCTTTGTTTTTATCTTTTATATTTTTGCTTTTAACCTTTTCTTGGTCTACATATTCACGTAGATGATGTGTCTAGACATCACGTCATGTGATGTCAGGTAGTGCGGTGTAATGTGATGCGATTTCATGTGATGTAATGTAAGGTAAAGTGATGTGATAGGATGTCATATCATGCCAAATGGCGTCATATCATGTGATGTTCTGTGATATGATGCCATAGAATCTCGATAACAAATTCGATAAAAAAATATCGATAGCAAAATCGATAAATAACTCGATAACGAATTCGATAAAATACTCATAACAAAATCGATATAAAATTTTCTAAATTTTCTAAAATCTGGAAATTGATCCCAGGTTGAGTCTCTGTGTCTCTGTCTACATATTTATGTACATATATCCTTTTCGTTACAAATACCTTTATTTTAATCATTCTTCCTCTTCATCTTTAGTTTTATCGGTATCCTCATCGTCATATTTTTCTTAACATTCATCTCTGTTTTTACCTTTATGTTTATCATTTTCTTCATCTACATACATATTCCCTTCACATTTTGCTTATATGTATGTAGATATGATATATGTATTTATTTCTCTGTGCTACCTTAAAATCTGATACTTCATAGAAAATAAGAAAATTAGGCCCTTTGAAAACAAATTAAATGCATTACGGGCTAGCTCTTTCAAGAATTCGGTTTCACATATACATATGTATATAAATAACACGGGAAAATTTTTGTTTCCGGTTTCAATTCGATTTTTCGGTATTAAAAGTTTTGTTGGGAAAAACGAGTGTACAGCTTTTTTAGGGAATGAAATTTTCTACAAAAAAGTTCCTCTGAGCAAATGCCGTCCGACCAACAGTTTCCAACTTTTAAATTTAGTAAAAAAATATAAATTTTAATCAATAATTATTATAAAATTAAATTTCCAATTTTTTTAAATTTAAATAGTATAGAGGAACCTATTCAACTGTTTTTACAGGGTGCCAAAAAAAATACTTTCATAGTGAGAGAGTTCAAAAACGCTTGGAACAAATTGAACATTTTTCGGTCCACACAACGTTATACGGTGTGATTTGCATACTTACATACATACATGTACGTATGTATGTAGTACATCTAATCTTTGTATTTTTCCGGCTGCGATTGTTATGACGTTTTTATGTACATATTCTAAAAACATAAGCACACATGTAGCGAATTCATACATATGTATATATGTACATATGTATGTATGTATGTATGCATGATATATGTACATTTAATGAACGATGTACCACCCTGGTTAAAATAATTTTTGCGCATGTGCTATATAACCTTCACCATAGCTCCACATTCTTAAATGGGTACGTGATGAAAAATGCTGTAAAGTGCATACACAAATACAATGTATACATACATATTTATGTATGTATGAAAATGTAGAAAATTCACTTGTATCCAGTTAGTGCGCTTTTGTCAACAGTGAAACAACATGTCTTAGCTTAGCTGCATTGCTTATCAGATCAATATAAAAAGAAAAATACAATATTAAGAACAGTTTGCATTAAAAACTATTAACTACAAATTAAATAGGTATGTAATGGCAATTGAATGCTCTTGATGTGTTAAGTGCATACATACGCTTCTCATTCAGTCATTTATTTCTACTAACATTTTTACCAACGTACTTACATACATATAGTACAAATGTACTACATGCAGTGCACGGACTTACCACTTTATTGATAGATCTACCAATTTTTTAGCATCTTTTTACCAACAAAGGTTAAAAGTCAGCCGATATTTTCCGGAAAGAAAGGGATTTAAATGCACATTTTGTCATCGAACACAGCTAAAATAAAAATAAAAAGTTAATTCTGACCATAACCAATTTAAAAGTGAAATTGCATCTCTATCAGCTGTTTATGTATGTAAATATTTTTCGTTTGCAACGCGTTTTTTGTGTAGGACTGCCAAACGAATGGTCTGCAAACTTCAAGCATTTTTAATCTAATTTTAATCAAGAAACTTTGAAGTGGAGATATGTAATTGTTTGAGCTCTTTTTTAAATTAATAAAGGTCCTGAATTACGGCATCCGTGATGTTAAAGAGATTACGGAATTTGATAGCGAGCTCGCTTATTCGATTCGAATCCGAGTTTCATTCGATCACGGATGCCATGATTCGGGCCCATTGTTATGTATATGTTTTTTGTTGAATGTTTTATTGGCGGGAAATAAATTGTTTGTTCTTTTATAAAAAAAGACAATTATTCCAACCTTATAGCAGGAGTACAGAAACAAAAATTATACCTACTACGCATAATTGCAGTAAGAATTACACAAATACATCATTTTGACATTAAGAACCACCGAGGCGAAAATCCAGCTGCTCCTATAACACCACCTTATTTCTTAAAAAAAAAAATAAGAACCAACTTCGACAATTTTTTGTATATAAAATCAACCAATATTAGTTTTTTTGAAGTCCGTGCACTGACTACATGTTACCTTACTTTACGTCAGCACGATATTCAGCTTCATTACTGGACTGGCCCGGTAGACATGGGAATGGAACGAAATGTGATGTTTTAACAAACATAAACAACAATAAATGTGCATACACATGCAAGTATGAATCAGCAACCCTGTCTTTTGCTCAGTGTGACCGCGGGCTTGTGAAAAATTGTAGCAGAGCAGAGACTTAAAATGTATCAAATGTATCACTTTTTTTTATCTTAAGCATCAAAGTATCAATATGGAATAAAACCAATAATTTTTATGAAAAACCATTTTTCAAAACGATTTAACATTTATTGATTGCAAAAAAGGTACACGTATCAGTTGTACCTGGTACTAGTATAATAATAATAAAGAAAATGTCTTAGATATATGTATGAGTTCAACTGGGTGTCTGTATAATAAAAACAGCAAACATGTCGTATATATGATCATAATTTTAGTTTAAATACTTTTTGTACTTATAGGGCTCAGAATTCAAATTTTTTAATAATTTTTAAGGCATTTCGAAAACATTATGCATTCCACCATTGTCAAAGTGAAGCGATTTGTTCTATATGTTTTGATCAAATTCAGATCTGAGAAAATGCACTCTGTAGCAAACACAACAAGTTATAAATAAAAGAAGTTAGGTCGAAATATAAAAAGTTATTTAAAGCATTTTTTAGCTTGCTTACCCCCCTTGCTTACTTCAACGCAATCTGTGTTATTATCGAATTTCAAAAGTTGCCATTGTATACAAATTTTTTCTTTAGTTAATATAGTTAGTAGTTATAAGTTAATAGTTACTTTCAAAATTGTTATTATTATATGAAAAATAATTGCAACGCGCTCCACTGGGACAGTAAACGATCAACAGCTAGCTTCAGCGATACCCAGCGAACGTTTGACACTCGAAAAATTTTATGATTTTTAACACCAACTCGGCAAATTCCTCCACCTTTTTAGCACTATGTGCGAAGAAATTGTAAACATCTCAGGCAAGTTTTTCGAATTCTACGGGAATTTTTTTTACACGATGGGAAAAGTATGAAAATTTAAAAAGAAGTGTCCCTCCAAAATTCATCAAAAAATGAATCACTTTTGATCCACTTGGATCAAAACGGTCACACTGCTCGTGCTTAAGGTCCGATTAACTTCTGCGTTTTATTTTTTTCAGTTGCTTCAGTGTTGCCGGCGTGAGTGCTTCTTTTCAGATAATCACCCCTATGCTGTAATCCGAATGTTCGCAGTTACGAATTCGTAGCTCCGTTCCGAAAATTCGAAAATTGGTATGCTGTAATCCGATCGTAACTATCAGTGGCACTGCCAGCTAAAAACTTGAAATTCGAAGTTCTTCATCAGCTGCTTTTACAGAAACAAATCGAAATAAATATAATCGAAAGTGAATAGCGAAATCAAAAAATCTAGTTTAATCATTATTCGAAAAGACTTTTCCTTAATTAAGTAGAATACAAAGGATTCAGTGGCCGGTGCACATTTGTCCGAGGAGGAAGAACAGCTAACAGTTGCATTATACAAAGGATATGCCTGATCCATTTGGCTTAAATGATAAAATGTAAGCTCCCTCATTTTAAAAGCCTCCATTTCACTAGATATTGTGCCGCTTTAATTCTTGGAACTCTTTCCCAAAATTCCACCACATCCTCTTTAGCTCCTCTTAAAAAGCCTCGACCAATGTCCGGCCTTTCGCTCATGCATTCCACCAGTTTTTCTTATTGCGAGCGATTTGTTATGATCTTCGATCTGATAATTTTGTAAACATTTAATAAAATTTTTTTTCTATTCACACTTCAACTTACATACATATTTTTGCATTTACACAATTTATTATATTGATATTTTAAAACAATTTGTTTCGCTCCGACACGAGTTGCTATTCATACAAAATTTCCGAAAAATACATAAAAAATTACAGCTACATCGGATTCAGGCATACCAACATTACGAATTTCGAAGATGGCCTACGAATTTCGAAATAACGATACGACAACGCGGATTTCAGCATACCAATTTTACGATTCGTAGCAAAATCGAATCTATGACGGATTACAGCATAGGGGGGGTGAATATCTCAACGCATATGCACATATATATGTATGCATGTATGTACGTATATGTAAATTATTAGCGATAACATTTCTCAGTTCTCATTGTATTAAAATGTGTACATACTATGTACATTTTCATGGGCCGAAAATTCGCTTTCTTAAAATTGTGATTGGTAATAGGAAAAATATGGTTCATCATGCTCATATGCATGTTCATAAACAAGTTAAATCGCATGCAATTGTTGTTGGAAAATTTAACCAGTTAAATCATTTAACTCGTTTGAAAACCAGTTCAGCACAGAGTTGTATCTGAAAGCTTTCTGCTCTGACCAATCAGAAAGACCCAAAAGCTTTCATTTGACACGTCAACGTTCAAAAAATTTATATTCTGAAAAATATTAAAAATTAAAAATTATTAAAAAATATCAAAATTATATTAGTTATTTCCCATCAGGTCTCGTCGTACGCAGAGATAAATAGGGCATACGAACATAAACATTTTGAAGTACCTAAATAATCCGTATGCATTAATATTATGAAGCAGACATTCGCATAAAACAAATTGAAACACAAAAACTTGATTTTGAATATTTTTTTTAGAATTTTTATTGGTAACCAAACATCCGTCAAAGTTAACTCCAAATGTTCAATGTGGACGATTGTGTTTTCCAAAAAGCTCTTTTTCATTTAACAAGTTAAATCGGGCCAATTTGAACGTAATATAAGCTAACATATTTTCTTAGCGCTTGAACTTTCATCAAAACAATCAAAATTCTAAAAAAACGGATTTTCGGCCCACGCTAATGTACATATTATGCACGTATGAATAAACACACCTTGTTTTTTACATGATAAGTGCGTAGTTGTTTACGGCAACACTATCCACAAAATTTCGAAATGCATACGAACACAATTTATTAAGTTGCATATTTATAAGGGTTCATTGTTCCACGTGAAATATGTTCGTATGACACATAACATTTATACGTTCTTCAAAGGTTTATTAATTCAACATTTTTGGTAAGACATCTTACAGGAGTTGTTGGACTGGTCCTTTTCCAATTACACGCCAATGTTAAAAATGACATTTGAAACCATTAGCAGAGAAACTAGTACTGGTAACCTTATGGACTATCCGAGGTCTAGCCTAGGTTGAGTCCGAATTGCTACAGGGTAGCTTTAACCCTCTGCGACTGATGTGGTAGTCTGACAGACACCGAAGGTTCGACATTTTTGCTGAGCTCAATAGTATTGATTACTAAAAACGCCTTTTTTTCGACGTAAAGGCTGCATTTCTTTATTCATTCTGAACGTTTGGAATAAACTTTTTCGTTTACTTATAATTTAGAACGTTCCTGATGATATGTTAACGTATATTTCAAACGCATTCTGTTTATTCCGGCTGTGAAATGGGATTATCCGGAATGTATAAAGAAACGCAGCCATAGTTTTTGTATATGACTATTTCATTAATGAGTATGTATGTATTTAAAATATTGATAGAATTTCCATTTTAAATCGAAAAAAAGTTTATTAATAAATATCTAACATACATACCTATATATTTTGATCTGGAAAATTTGTGTCTGATAGACTACGCGTCAGTAAAATAGGGAACTTTCGGTCAATTGTTCTTTAGTATCTGGTTTTGAACTAGTTCATTTACATTTTAATGTTAATAAAATTGTTCGTTTGAATACGATTTCGTTGTGCACTTCACGGATGCGTTTTCGTAATTAAGAAAACCTAAAAACAAATATTAAAAATTTTATGTTCCGCCAATGGGGTTTGAGCTCGGACACTCCTGACAGCACAACCAATAGTAGCAAGCATCTCTGCGCACTCAGCTACAGCCACGATATGTAAATGTGTTTTCAAATGTTCACTTTAAGCGATTGGAGCATTTTTACATTTTGACAGACACAGAGTGGTGTTGTTTGGAATCTTTTTATTGAGCTGAACTCATTCTTAATGAAAATTTCTAGACAACACCACTCTTTATGTACAAATCAGTGAGAGTTTAATTTTCTGTCTATCTGTGGAACAGTTCCTTAGGGTGGTACTAGTGCTTTTCGGAAATTCATGTTTATTACAAGCTTTTAATAAGTTTCCCGTGTGTGTAATCAAATCTTGCAATCACTTCTTAACCATCTTCAATATGAGCTAGATACTAGAAACTTCAAACTTAGCTCAAAACCCGGTGACAATGCAATATGAAAGATGAATTAATCTCCTAGGTGGCGCTGGTATCGAGATATTTATAAAACCCGTACAACCCGTTCACATTTAAAATATACATATATTTCTTGCATGAAAAGAAATAAAACTACAAAAAATATTTAGCCGTTAGGTGGTGCGGAGGTCGATTTTTCTATTTTTATTAACCACTAACAAGCTTGTCTTTAAAATTGTTTGTTTAAATGACTTGTTGGAGTAATTGAAATAAAAATGTAAAATTGAAACTGAACAATTGAAAACATATACAAACCTTCCTTTTTGGGGGGTCTGCAAATAATATGAAAATATAGATTTTTAATGGGACACTCTTATTTTGTTCTATGTATAAAATAAGGACTTTAGAGAAAATTTAAATATTAAAAAAAAAAAATTGTTAGGTATGACAAAATTTAAAATTGGATAAATTTTACATATTACTGAAAGCTATTCATTAAAATTCAGTCATTGCCAAATTAATTCATTGTGCGATATTAAGCTCCAAAGCATTTTTAAATTTTTTTTCAAGTTCAAAATAACGTTTGTTTATAAATACATACATACATAAGTAATAGCTTAAAAAAATACCAAGAAACTCATTACCAGGGAGCGGATTTTATGGAAATTGCCTTTTTTACTGCTAAAGGGATGGAGTATATTCGATTAAGAATGTTCACGGTTTAGCTTTCTCTGATTCCATATATGTATACACATTTCATGTAGCCTTTTTTTGAATTTTCTACCTTTAATTGTAAAGGGCAAGGAAAAAGCCCTTATTCCTGATAATATGAAAGTTTCAAAAGTTCCATATTTAAATTGGGCGCCACTTGTAATAACTCATGTCGAGCGCACGTTTAGTACATTCAACGCTTCTCTTCGCGGGAATCGATGAAAATGTTGCTAGAAAACTTGAAAATGAATTTTGGTTTTGTGGGTAAAAAACTCGAAAGGAGAAAAGTGCACATTTTTCATATATTGAAACTATGTAAATCATAGTTTTTCTCTTTTTACTTGTAAAATAAACATTTCTAAAATAAATGTATTTTTTGATTATTTTCGGTTTTTGTCTTTTTTAGTGCCTTTTTTTCCTTTCTTTGCGATTTCTAATACTTTTTCCTGCCTATTTCGCAATTTTATTTTGCCTTTCCCAGCCTATTTCGTTATTTTATTTTGCCTTTTTTTGTAGGTTTTTAGAGCTTCCTGAAAACCAAATGCATTTTTAACCTTTTCCATGCGTGGGTTAGGCAGTCAAAAACAAAAAAAGCGACGACTAAAATTTATTTTAAACTTTACAATAGAACATACAACATTTAATGTTGATATTGTAAGGACAACCTATGTATACATCCTTGCTGAAGCCGAGTTGGCAGAGGCCTAGATTTGATTGCCGTAAGTAGAAACATACATATAAATAGTATAAAAGTTAAAGAAAAAGTTGATCCTAATTTTGAATGATAGGTTTTTAGGTTGCTTAACCAATTGTTTGGGTTAGTGTATGTACAAAAAATAGTACTTCTAAAGTAAAATACAAATATTTCATAGGCATTCTCTGAGTTTATATTTAGAAACGTAAAGTTTGGTATCAGAGGTACGACGGAACGGAAGTTGGAAGGTTCCCCGAACTCACTCGAACTTTTTTTGGAGCACCTGAATGTACATACATATGTATGTATGTATTCTGCGATTTTTATAAGCATCCAATAGAAAAAGTAACTCGAAATAAAGTTAAATCTTAAGTTTGGTCACTTCGTTCATATATTTATTGAGATTTACTAAGTTATTCGTTGCATTTTATCGATAACTAGACTGCGGATATTTATGCAGAAGACAAAGCCTAAATATATGTACCACTTAACTATAAGCAAATTGTAGAAATTTGTATACATTTTTTTTATAGTTATGTGATGCATATATTTATGGCTTTATTCATAAAAAATAAAGTAGCTTTAAAGAGCTTTACAAAGTGACGTTTTCATACATTTTTCAATTTATAAACCTTTTTTAAAGCTACTTTATTTTTTATGAATAAGGCCATTAGTCTTTATTTTATGCATAAACATCCGAAGTCGATCGATAACATAGCCATCCCAAATCAAGAAAAGAAGAGTATAGTATATCGTTGGTTGAGTGGAAGACCTCCCTATTTCGGCTGCCGATATATTGAATTTATATTGAGATAGGGCTTCTTTGAACTAAACTCTGTGATAGTGCGTTCTTCAACCGAATTTCGAAATCGGGAGCTCTTCAACGATTTGCTGAGATAGAACGTTTTCGAATCGGCAGCCGAGATAGGGCGATCTTCCACTCAATCAACTATATATTCTTCCTTTCTTGATTTGGGCTGGCTTTCCTATATGGCCGTTTTGTTTCGTTTCGTTATTACGTCGTTGCTAAAGGATCACAATTTGGTTTAAAAGTACTTTTATTATTTAATATTACATATGTACATATGTATGAAGAAGAAGAATAATTAAAACAACTTTTGTTTTTCATTACAGTTTTGACAATCCGGAGTTGGATTTTTTCTTCCATACCTTAAAGTGAAAGCACTCCGGAAATTCGTATTCCTATTGGATACAAAACAGCAGTTTTAAAAGAGCAACACCTATTTGAATTTGTTAATATTGCTATGTCGACAGGCCTGAAGGTATTACTAGATGCAGCTCAGTATATTGAGCATCAAGAAAAATTAAAAAGATCACCAATTCCGGCTTCAACTGACTCTACAGAGCTATGCTATGTGGGCCAATGCTCTACGGAATTCGATATATTAGGTGGCGTCAGCAGCAACAACAACAACAACAACAACGTTATAAACACAAGGAGCGCACGAACTACAACTGACATAATTCAACAAGTGTCCTCATCTGCACCTGCTTCAAGTGCCACATTTCATCATCTCAGCAATGGGGTAATTATAACAAACAACAATAGTTCTCTTACTGGAAGTCAATTGGTAGTTGAAGCGAGGGCTACCAACCCTAAGCAAAACAACAACAGAACAATAAATGATTATGAATTCACTAGAAATATTAGTGGTACAATCGCAACTTTGAAAGGCAGTTCAAGAGTGTCGCATTCTTCGAAATCATCATCAACACATACGAACAGTGCAACTGATGAAGCAGTTAATGATTCAAGCATCACGGGTAAGTTTTCTGCTACATAATCTAGGATAAAGAATTTCGTTGGGACCCCACTGTAATCCAGGCGTTATTTAGATAATAAACCCGATATGAAAAGTAGAGAGCAAACAATTTTTGGGGCAGAAGTATTTCTTGCTCTACATATTTACATAAATGAGGTACCATTGGAAAGGTAATGAACCATGCTTTCTCTGTTCAAAAGCGAAAAAACAGATATTTGTCTCGGTAGACATCAAATGCAAATGAATTACTCGAAGAATATGAAATTCCTAGTGGGCATGAAAAAAGAAAATTTCATCAAAACCAGCGCCTTCTAGCAACTAATTTTGTGTTGCTAGGAGTGGCAAATAAACTGAGATACGAACTTTATTGGATAATCGCGGATAACGAGTTTTCGGGTCTAACGAAATGAATAAATAGCTAAAATTAAATTTAAGTTAACACCGTTTTACTTTAGCATGAAATATTCGGTCCTAGTTTACTAAAATCCCAAAGTCATTAAAAAGAACATATCTAAAAAAATAGGGCCAAGTGGTATTTTAACAACTGCTGCATAAATCACAAAACACCAACAACTTAAACATTGAATTTCAGTCTCTAATATACAAGTTAAAATATGATTGCGCTTGGTAGTCTTCCAAATAAAATCCCGTCCCGCCGCCATACACTATGATTTCCTTTTTTTAGTTGTTATTGTTTCGTCTTTATCAGGCAATTCTAAAAACATTTTTGACGTTGTTTTGAAATTTAGAGATATAAAATAATTTAATTAATATTTTCTACAACATGGGAATAATACACTGTGCGGCGCACGTAAAATATTAACCGATTTCAAATAAAAAATACGGGTCTCGTTATTTTCGATATTCCTCAGATTTGGACAGCATGAAAAGAAAAAAAAAAGTATTTTCCTGTGTAGATTTAGCCCATCATAATGCACATACATAGTATGGGTGTTTCCATGATGACGGACGTGACATTCATACGAAAACGGAAGTCCTTTGGTTGACAAAAAAATTAGGTGTGCTTCGAGCACTGGTGTCGGGAAAATCGATGAAAAGGAGGTCATAACGGACGTGACAAAAACAGAATTGGTTTCAGTGAGGCATGTAAAAATAAGCAAAACTGCGAATCCTGTGAGGTTTTTCTTAAACATTCTTTCAATAAAGTCAAATTACGGACCATTAGAACCAATTCGTTTTCAATGAGAAGAAATTCGTTGTTGCTTTTATTTTGAATTAAAGTTACAAAGTCGGTTGAACTCATTTACTTGCATTTTCGGTTTACATTTTATTAAAAAAAACACCCATATACATATGTATGCTTGAGGTGCAAAAGAAACACGCATCTGCATTTGCTTAACTGTTTGAGTCTATCGGTAATACTATGTAGTATTCCACAAATTTTTATCGAAATTTCGAACTTTTTAACCAGAATTTTTAGAAATTTTTTGGTTATGCAGTGATGTGATAAAATGAAACGCTGTCAGCACTCCGCAAGGTTGCAAACAAATTTATGTTCGAAAAATATCTTGATATGGAAGGAACCGCTTTACACTGTCAAGGCAAAAATTGCCAAAACTCAATGCAATTTTAAGCAACTTCAATCTTGCACTTTGTTGTACTAAAATTAATTTTTTTAGAGTCTAATTAAAATGTTTGCAATTTAGGTGAATCCCGTTCTTTAAACTTTGTCAGCTTAAAAATTACCTATTCGTCCTTGTGAATCCAAAAAATTTATATTTTTTAAATCCTAAAGAAATTTCCTATTGCATTTGTTACACATATTTTTATTCTACATTGCATTGAATTTGTTTAATAATTTCATATCTTTGAAATTACAATGTCCTTCAAAATAAATCCTGCGGTCAGAGAAAAAAAATAAAAACGCCTCTTTAAATAAAAAAGTAGGTTTCAAACCCATG